GTTCCTCAAAAAATTAGAACTACCCTATGACCTAGCAGTTGTACTACTACATATTTTTCCAAGGGATACAGGTATGCTGTTTTGAAGAGGCACATGCACCCCCATATTCGTAGTAGCACTATCAACAATAGCCAAAGTATGGAAAGAGCCCAAATGTCCATCAACAGATGAATGGATAAAGAAGATGTTGTGTACACACACACACACACACACACACACACACACAATGGAGTAATGAAATCTTGTCATTTGCAACTATATGGATGGAACTAGAGGGTATTATGCTAAGCAAAATTAGTCAGTCAGAGAAAGACAAATATCCTATGACTTCACTCATATGAGGACTTTAAGACACAGAAGAGATGAACATAAGGGAAGGGAAGCAAAAATAATATAAAAACAGGGACAAGGACAAAACATAAGAGACTCTTAAATATGGAGAACAAACAGAGGGTTACTGGAGGGGTTGTGGGAGGGTGGATGGGCTAAATGGGTAAGGGCCATTAAGGCATCTACTCCTGAAATCATTGTTGCACTACATGCTAACTAATTTGGATGCAAATTAAAAAATAAATAAATTATTTTTAAAAATTAGTTTCCATCCTTGGCAAAGGGAGAAGAGCTCCTATTTAAGCCAACTGTTCCACAGATAACAAAAATACATATGGAGAAAATATGAAAAACAATTATCTGAAGACATGGGAATATGACCAAAAGCAATAAAAACTGGAAGGGAGTGGAAAAAATTAATTGATCGAGTTAATGACACTAAGTAAGCTTCCTGTTTTTGTGGTATTTTTGGCCAGCTGGTGTCATACTTGGTAACTAAAAACTAGATAGAAACCTGCTGTCTTATTGCCTTAAATAACTAATATTCAATTAGGCTAAAAATTTTGAGTAAGTAGACACAGAGGAACAAAAAAAAAACTGATAAAAAAAAATAGAAAACAAGTAATAAAGTCATAAAAGTAAATACCACCAGATAATAGTTATATTAAGTATAAATTGGTTAAAAATTCCAGCTAAAAAGCAGGAAACAAAAAACCAAAAAAAACTCTTTGGAAGGATTAACAAAAGTGATAAACAGCTAGCTGAATGATCAAGAGAAAATAAAAAGAAAACACAAGTTTTCAGTGTCAAGAATAAAGGGTGTATCACTACAGATTTTAAAGACAGTAAATCGATACTAAAGAAATATGTAAATATCTTTATGCCAATAAACATAACAATTTAAATGACATAGACAAATTTTTTAAAATATTACTTTCTTTAAAGGGATGCCTGGGTGGCTCAGTCAGCTAAGCATCCTACTTTGGCTCAGGTCATGATCTCAAGGTTCATGGGTTTGAGCCCCATGTCAGGCTCTGTGCTCACAGCTCAAGAGCCTGGAGCCTGCTTTGGATTCTGTGTCTGCATCTCTCTCTGCCCTTCCCCTGCTTGCTCTTTCTCTCTCTCAAAAATAACATTAAAATTTTTTTTAATAATAAAATATAACTTACTCTAAAGACAAAAAAATGAAAAAGAAAATCTGAATAGCCCTTCAACTGAAGAAACTGATTTTTTTTTTTTTTGTGAAAAACCTTCCCATAAAGAAAGCTCTAGGCTTAGATAATTTCATTGGTGAGTCCTATTAAACATTTAAAGAAGAAATAACACCTGCCATATATAAACTCTTTTAGGAAAGGTAGCAGGAGGGAGCACTTCTCAAATAAGTAAAATGTAGCTATTTTAAAAGCAGTGCAATATAATTTTAACAGAGAAAACATTAGACATTTGAGCCTTAACAAAGTAAGAAAGTTAACTGTCTTAGTTCATTTGGGCTGCTATAACAAGGTACCACAGAATGAGTAACATAAACAACAGAAATTCCTTACAGTTCTAGGGGCTTGGGGAGTCCAAGATCAAGGCACCAGGATGGTTGCATTCTGATGAAGGTACCTTCCTGATTCAGAGCCCGTGCCTTCTGGCTGTGCCCTCACAAGGTAGAAGGGGCAAGGGATTGCTGTGGGATTTTTTATAAGAACACTAATTTCATTCATAAGGACTCCATGTGACCTAAGCACCTCCCCAAAACCCCATCTCCTAATGCCATTATCTTTGGAGGTTAGGGTTTGAACGTATGAATTTGGAGAGGAAACAAAAAATTGGGATCATAGCACTATCGTTTCTAGTATATAAACAACAGCAAAAGGGATAAGAAGAGTTCTCTACATGGCTTAATAGTTTACATTTTCCTTTTGTATTTTAAAAGGTAGCTTTAGGGGCGCCTGGGTGGCTTGGTCGGTTAAGCGTCCGACTTCGGCTCAGGTCATGATCTCACAGTCCGTGAGTTCGAGCCCCACGTCGGGCTCTGTGCTGACAGCTCAGAGCCTGGAGCCTGTTTCAGATTCTGTGTCTCCCTCTCTCTGCTCCTCCCCTGTTCATGCTCTGTCTTTCTCTGTCTCAAAAATAAATAAACATTAAAAAAATTTAAAAAAATAAAAGGTAGCTTTATTATTGTTTCTTTGCTCATAAGTTGAATAAGTTATAAATATACAGAGTAAAGAAAACAAAATAATAATACAAGCTTTAACAGTTACAAGAATGTAGACAATGAAAGGGAAAATCTTCTCTTTCACTTGCCATCCTCTAGTCTCCATTTCCTTTCCTCAGAGGCAACCAGTTTTTAATTTCTTTTTAGTTTTTATGTTGATATCCTCTGCATGCATAAGTATATATGTATGTATTAATTTATATATATGTCTATCATTTTTAAGAGACTTCCTTAAAATATAAAATAGTGGAGGGGCGCCTGGGTGGCTCCGTCGGCTAAGCGTCCGACTTCAGCTCAGGTCACGATCTCGCAGTTGGTGGGTTTGAGTCCCCGCGTCCGGTGCTGTGCTGACACCTCAGAACCTGGAGCCTGTTTCAGATTCTGTGTCTCCCTCTCTCTCTGACCTTTTCCCGTTCATGCTCTATCTCTCTCTGTCTCAAAAATAAATAAACGTTAAAAAAAATTAAATAAAAAAATATAAAATAGTGGAACATTTTAAAATAATTTTATTTAAGTAATCATTTGACCACTTTATTTTCTCTCTGTATTCTCTGTTATACTTCCCAAGACAGGGGGAATTGGATAGTCATGGGTACTTTTGGGAACTGGTGAGGGGGCAATTGAATTAAGGAAATCATTTAATTTGTATTTAGGGGAATATATTTGGGTGGTTCATAGTCAATTTGTGAAGTTAACTTTTCTTACCAACACTCCCTCATGTAGGAAAAGCCTTAGGAATTCTCACTGTGTTGACTCATCCAGGAAAACTGTGGAGCCTGGAGTTGTGATGTGTCTCATCTACCTAGCGCTAGAGGTTATATAGATGGCGTGAGGTGGTGGAAGATGAATAAGGTTGATATATACACAGCTAGAAGACAGTTTGTAGATTAGTCTTCCAATAATCAGAAATGCAAAATTATAGGGATGCTTGGGTGGCTCCGTCGGTTAAGCATCCAACTCTTGATTTCGGCTCAGGTCATGGTCTCAAGGTTCATGGGTTAGATAGAGCTTTGCATGGGGCTCTGCACTTACAGTTTGAAGCCTGTTTGGGATTCTGTCTCCCTCTCGGCCCTTCCCCCGCTTGCTTGCTCTCTATCTCTCGCTCAAAATCAAAATAATAATAATAAAAAAAAATGTAAAATTTTAAGGAAAGTAAATGAAGAGTAAAAAGTACTATAGAAATTCCAGGCAAATGGGGCACCTGGGTGGTTCAGTTGGTTAAGCATCCAGCTTCCACTCACATCATGATCTCAGGGTTCATGGGTTCAGCCTGACTCGGTGTCAGGCTCTGTGCTGCCAGCTCAGAGCCTGGAGCCAGCTTTGGCTTCTCTGCCTCCCTCTCTCTCTGCCCCTCCTCCACTTGTGCACACTCTCTCTTTCTCTCTCTGTCTCAAAAGTAAATAAATAAACATTTAAAAAAAGAGAAATTCCAAACAATTAATAAAAATAATATATTATTTTTTCTGAATTATTTTACATTTGTAAACCTATCTTTATTTAAGATTTATAAACTTGTGGGGTGCCTGGCTGTCTAAGTCTGTAGAGCAGGTGACTTTTGATCTCAGGGTTGTGAGTTTGAGCCCCACATTGAGTATAGAGATCTCCTTTAAAAAAAAATTTTAAAGACGTATAAATTTGTAAAATTTTACAGTTTGTTCTGATTTCTTTTTCTCATTCTAAATATTCACTTTTTATCCAACTTTTAATTTTTGAATTTCAAATTGTTTTAAAGAGAAACCCCAAAGTTGTATAAGCTTCAGACTGTACAAAAATTAGATCTTCCCTGTTTAAGTTGTAGGAGAAACTAGGGAAGAAAGACGTGAAATTGATCAAGGGCAGGATACAGATGCCCCTTAATTCTATACTTTAAGCGAAAAAGAAGAAATATATATATATATATATATATATATACACACACACACACATATACATACATATTTATAGTGGAAGTTAAAATTTAAATGTCTAAAAGCAGAATACAGTAAGATACATAATTTCTAAGCCACTAAAACAAGAACGCAAGCTTGACTAATTCCACAGAAGGTAAGAAAGAAAAAAAAAGTAAATAATATAAAATGGCAGGAAGAAATATAATCACAATAAATATAAATAAGTTAAATCCTCCTTATTAAATAAAACCCATGTCTCTTGGGCTTTCAACAATCTAGCTATATACTTTTGAAAAGAGTAAAGGAAAATGGGCTTTTGAATTACATTGGAATACACTTCTATCAGAATCACCTAGGAACTTAATACTAGAATCACATAGGAAAGTCATTACATTAGAATCAGGGGGTAGACTTTGGGATAAAAGGATTTCCTTTTTCAGGACTGTAGAAATTAAGTAGATATGTTTGGTATATCTGGCACTGACACTATGACTGCTTCTGGAGAACGAAATGGGGTACTGATGAACAGGGTAGAAGGTCCATTTACTTCCACTCTTCACCATATGCTTTTTGGGGCCCTTTTGAACTCAGTCTCATCTTTTTTTTAATTTGTTTTTTTTTTTACCAGTTGAAAAATTGTTCACCAATTGAATAATTGTAATGTTTACTCAAATAATTAATAGGTTTAATAGAATATTTGGGAGAGGTCATCACCCATATGCAATTATGTGATTTATGACAAAGGTTCAAGTCAGGGGAGGAGAGGGTGATTTTTTAATTAAATGATTCTGGGTCAAATGGAGTTCTATATGAAAAAAAGAACCCTGACCCCTTCCTCACACTATATATAAGATTAACTTAAAATGGATAAAGATCTAATGTGAAGAGTAAAACCAAGAAACTTCTAAAAGAAAACGTAAGAGAATAGCTTCATACCTTTAAGGTAGCCAATGTTTTCTTAAACGCAAAAACACTAACTATGGAGGAAGAGACTGATAAAATAGACTTCATTAAAATTAAGATCTTTTGGTAAAGAAACCTATCTTAATAAAAGGGTAGGGAGATTGTTGCTCTGGAAGGTCCGTAGTTCTGGCATTTGCAGAGGCCCTACCTATAAGAACCACTAAGTGTAATTTGTGGTCCTTTTGGAAAGGACATGGCTTTGGGGGAAAAAAATCTCTTTAAAAGACAATTGGGACAATTATGGGTGTTTGAGTATAGATGAGCTATTAAAGAATGTACTTAGTTTTAGGGATACATGCTGAAGCTTTAAGGAGTGGACTATATCTAATTAATTTTAAAATGTTTCAGCAAACATAAGATAAAGCAAATATGGCAAAATGTGAAATTTGTCCAATGTAGACAATGGCATGTGGGTGCTCACTTTTCTTTATTATTCTGTGATTGAAAATAGGAACTTCAGTAAAAGAAGGGAAAAAATTAAGATCTTTTGTTTATCAAAAAACACCTTTTTTTTTTTCAACGTTTATTTATTTTGGGGACAGAGAGAGACAGAGCATGAACAGGGGAGGGGCAGAGAGAGAGGGAGACACAGAATCGGAAACAGGCTCCAGGCTCTGAGCCATCAGCCCAGAGCCTGACACGGGGCTCGAACTCACGGACCGCGAGATTGTGACCTGGCTGAAGTTGGACGCTTAACCAACTGCGCCACCCAGGCGCCCCTCAAAAAACACCTTTAATAGTATCAGAAAACAAACCACTGAGTGGAAGAAAAACCTAAAACAACTATTGACAAAGGACTGACATCCAAAATGTATAAATCACTATTATAAATTAAAAAAAAAAAGACAACTCAATGTTTTAAAAAATGGGTAAGACTTGAATACCCACTTCAAAAATGTAGATATCTAAATGGTCAACAAGCAGATGAAGAAGGATTCAATATCATTCTTTATGAGGGAAATACAAATTAAAACCATAATCAGTTACCAGTATATACGAAAGCTTTCAAAATCAGATTTTAAAAATCAGATACCACAACTCTTGTACATTGCTGGTAAGGTGTAAATCCATGCGACTCCTCTGCTCCTATCATTTCTATTTCCCCTACTCTCACTAGCAAGTTCTTATCATGCCACAGAATCCCTTTACTCATCATAAGGTGATAACTTTTCCTTTGTAGTTCAACTACCAATATCGAGCACATAATAATAGTTAAGTGTATAAATCTGTATTCCCTCCTTTCTTATTTATTCGTCCTACCTTTACTTTCTGTATGCTCCTTAGTTCCTTATTATAAATCAAAGGGGCCTGTGTTTCCTCACTTATTAATGAAGGGATTCTCAACCTATCATATTCAGCTTAACAGGTAAATGGTTTTGCATTGATGTTACTAGCAGAGACATCATTTGGATAGCTCCTTAAAGACAGAAAACTTAACATTTTGTATTACCCTTCAGGGGCTCTGTATATACTAATCACTCTATAAGGAAGTAATAAATTTAACATGATTATGGTCAGAAAAAAATGACCAAGATATTATGGAAGTGAAGTTGCTCTCATAGTCTTGGCATGACAGGGGAATGACTGTCCTATTTTCAGGTGTCCTATGTCTTGGTGTCACTTTCATTCTTTTTTTTTTTAATTGTTTTTAACATTTATTTATTTTTGAGAAAGAGAGAGAGAGAGAGAGAGAGAGACAGAGTGCGAGCAGGGGAGGGCAGAGGAGAGGGAGACACAGAATCCGAAGCAGTCACTAATGGGGCTCCTCATACGGGATACACTAACTTATGGTGGGAATTACTAAATGCTCATTAGCAAAGCATTTCTGCAGTGGGGTATATAGTAAAAAGCACTTATGTTGATTTTTATTTTCAAAGATTAATCATTTAAATCTATATTATAGAGTTATTTTGACAATTATGTGAGTTAATAATTTCAAACACTTAGGACAAGTGCCTGGCACATGGTAAAGCTGTCAGTAAATGTCATGGTGTTGATGATGATGATGAATATCATCATCATCTAAAAATTTCAGATAGATTCATTCTTCTATGATTATCATTTGTCCTGGACACTGAGGCAGATTCCACTGATACCAGATTCCTCTTCAGAGCTAAAGGTCTTGTTTCTCCAACTGCTGGGAATGCTGTTGGCTCACAGCTCTCAAGATGTGAGCTTTATGCAGGAACTGCCTATCCAAGGTCACATGCACTCGCTGGGGGCAGTCTTTATCTAATGACTGGTTATTGATGAGTATAAGTACGCCTGGCTCCCTACCTCAACTTGGAATACCTCTGAAGGGCCACCCTGGCTTCAGAGCCATCCAGAAGGTTGGCTTAGGCTTTGTTATAACTCGATCACAGCCCAAATTCTCTCTCTACCCAATCCGGCATTTTACCTGCATTAAAATTCCCTAATAAGTTTTCCTGAAATGCACATCTCTGTCTCAGGTTCTGCTTTCCAGGGCACATAACTAGAAACATCAATTGTTACTTAGTGGATTAAAAGACTCCATTAACAAATGTATCCTTTTTTATTCACTGGTAATTATTAACACAAGGTTCAACTTTGATATGTATATATGTATAATTAAAAGATTAGACATTTGATAAGTTGGTGGCAGAGACTAACAGAATAAATTGTTAAATGAAATGTTTATCCTATTAAATATATCCATTTTTAAGTTTATTTATTTTGAGAGAGAGAGCATGAGAGAGCATGATCGGGGGAGAGGCAGAGAAAGAGGGAGAGAGAGAATCCCAAGTTGGTGGGGGAGAGGTGCTCGATCCCACCAACCCTGAGATCATGACCTGAACTGAAACCAAAAGTTGGATGCTTAACCAGGTGCTGCCTAAATATATTCTTATTGGAAAAGCTGGCAACATATTCAGCTATTTATCTGAGGTATAGAAAGCATGAAAGGCCATGTAAAGTTTTTGTTTTGCTTTTTGAAAACTTTTATTTAAAAATTTTTTTTCAATACTTTTTAAAAAGTTTCTATATGTATTTTGAGAGAGAGAGAGCATGCACCGGAGGGTCAGAGAGAGGGAGAGAGAGAATCCCAAGCAGCTCTGAGCTGTCAGCACAGAGCCTGGTGCGGAACTCAATCCCACCAACTGTGCTTAACCAACTGAGCCAGCCAGGCGCCCCTGTTTTTTGAAAACCTTGAACACAGGCAAAGTTAGTATACAGATTCTATTTGTCATGACAGGTTAGGTGATGATGCAGTAATAAGCTGTAACAAAATCTTAGAGTCTTACACATAAAAGTTCTTATTCAGGCAAATCTACTAAAAGTCCAGGAACTTCTCCAGGGCAGCCCTTCATGTGGTGGCTCAACACTCAAGACCCACTTTGTTTTTTTTGGTATCTCCATCTCATCGTGCTGCTTCAGGATTCTTTGTTCCAGGAAGGACAGCATGGTGAATAGTGCACTAGAAGTGACACAATGCCTCTGGCCGTTGTCTATCTTTAGACCTAGTAACAGGACCCCATCTAATTTGGAGAACTAAGAAATGCATATAACCATTTACATATCCAGGAAAAGGAAGAGAATTGAAAATATTGGTAAACATTGGTAATGTCAGTCACAAGGACAGTCTTAGACACTAAGAGAGGCTAATATTTTAGTGTCCATAAGGGTCATCTTATAAGACATTTCACTCTTGAAACAAACTCTCAGTATAGATCTTATGCTAGCACTGGAATTAATTTTAAGCTCTTGTGTTTATCATGAAATTTGAACAATAGTAAGTTTAGTTAACTCTAAACAAAGACAATCAACAGCTAAAGTAGAACCTGACAAGACATGGATAGTCTCTTCAGTCATAAGATAAATAGTAAAAAACAGATCACAATTGAGTGAGCTGTGAAAATTTGTGTAAAAATCTCTTCCAGAGGCTTCCTTGAAAATGTGATGTAAAATTTAAAAACAAGAACAAAATATAAATAAAAATGCGATGTGCCTGAATTTATTTCACATTTGACCATTTACACCTCTAAAGAAAAGGAGTAAAATTACCATCAAGTAAGTATACCTCACACCCTTCTTTCTATGCCATTCTTCAACAAGAAAAAATGTTTCATATGAGAAACATTTCACATTATTGATTACAAGACAGTTCAGAGCTAAACATAAAAAAGTCAATGAAAACAAAAATTGAATATAGATACAAATTTCCTTGCTTTCCAGAAACTCAAAAAAAACACATAAATTTCTGTGTGTTTGTCTAGTTCTATAAAATTTATCACATATCAGAGATTAATGTAGTGTTCATCACAATTAGGATATAAAACTATTCCATTACTCCAAAGTAACTCCCTCCTGCTACCCCTTTATAGTCATACCTTCCCTCTAACTCTAACCACTGGCCCAACTGATGTGTTCTCCATCACTCTAATTTTGCTATTTTGAGGCTGTTGTAGAAATGGAATTGTATCATATGTAACCTTTTGATACTGGCTTTTTTTCAATCAGTATAATGGCCTTGAGACCCATATAAGTTTTTGTATATATGGTAATAGTTTGTTCCTTTTTTATTGCTGAGTAGTATTCCATGATATGGATGTACCACAGTTTACTCATTCACCCATTGGGTGGTCTCCAGTTGGCTGCCATAAAGATTTAATGAAAATCTATACACAGTGGCACCAAGGTGGCTCATTCAGACCTCCAACTCTTGATCTCAGCTCAGTTCATGGTCTCACAGTTCATGATATCGAGCCCCAGGTGGGGCTCTATGCTAACAGCATGGGGCCTGCTTAGGATTCTCTCCCTCTCTCTCTGCCCCTCTCCAGCTTGCATTCTCTTCCTCTCTCTCAAAATAAAAAAATAAACTGTAAAAAAATCTGGACACAGATTTTTGTATGAATTTAAATGTTCATTTCTCTAGAGGAAATATCCAGTAGGTGGATTGCTGGGTATTATGGTAAGTTTATGTTTAACTTCAGAAGAAACTGCCAAACTGTTTTCTAGAGTAGCTATATCATTTAACATTCCCACCAACAAAGAATGAGAGATACAGTTGCTCCATATCTTGGCAGTACTTGGTATCATAAATATTTTTAATGTTAGTTAGCCATTCTAACAAGTGTGTAGTGGTATGTCATTGTGGAGTTAATTTGCATTTTCCTAATGGCCAATGATGTTGGACTGTAATGCTTTACACTTACATAGTGTTTTGCATTTTTACAAATATTCAATTAATTCTCACAAGTATAGCTATGTATTTCAAGTGACAAAAGGCTGATATTATGTAAATCTGGAAAAGACAGACAGATAAATGTAATTACACCAATGCAGAATCAAAACAATTTAAAACTCAAAAGGAACTGGAGGTAATTTAGTCAAACTTCTTCATTTTACAGAGAATAGAGTCTCAGAGAGGTTAAATGATTTCTCACACGGCAGGAATCATACAAAAACCACACTTCTGTTGCTTGCATCTCTTCTATAATGTCCAGTCAAGTAGGTGACAATTTATGCTTGAATCCTTCAAGTGACTGGGAATTCACTCTTTTTTTTTTTTTTTACCCAGTTCTGTTACGAAGTGTTTCTTGACATTGGGCTGAAATGGCCTATAAACAAGTGAACAAGTCTGTAAGTGTTTTGACATTGAGCTAAAATGGCTTACTACAGCTCCTGCCAATGGATCTGGTTTCATCCTCTGAGACTTTCCTGAGGAAATGTGGTCCCTTTCCACATGACAGTACTTCACATATTTGAAGACAGCCATCATGCTCTCTAGGCTAAACATTTACATTTTCCTCTAACCATGTCTTAGATGAGCTCCTTTATCATTCTTCTTGCTTGTAT